TTACACCAGGTCCTCTGCATAATACGTTATCACTGTTAGCTTGGTGGTTTTTTGGGACTCCTAACAGTGGAGGTGGATGCATCTCTGACTCTTTTGCATGACTCCTTTTCTCCTTGTCCAGCCGTGATATGAGTGCTTTCACCTTGTCTTTTTATATCTTATTTTGTCCTGTCTGGCTGCCATCTTTTAGAGATCTGTTCTTTTCTGAAGAGGAAATGGTAGACAGATGGATGTGGAGGACAGCAGAGGTATGGGGGAGATCTAGGAAGATTGAGGGGAGAGGAACCTATGGTTGGGATATATTGTATGAGAGAAGTATCTATTTTCAATAATAAAAAAAACTCTCCTTTTGATCCACAGAGAAACTGACTCATAGATCTAACTAAAGCCAGACAGACATCAATGTGGCACTATCTTATTGCTGCCAAACCCTAAAAGCACATCCCAGTGTTGCATTAGTAATGACTATTTGTGTGACCTTTAAAATCATGTGAAGATCCTAGCTTTTAGGTGCTTCCTTTTAAATTATTAAAATTGGGTAAACCCATTGAAAAACATGTAGGAGAATATTAATGACTACAATGGAGAGTTGGGGTTGCAACATAATATTTTCTGACAAACGGATCTTATAACTTCTTCAGCTACACCAAATAAACCCTTACAAATTCACTGAGCACTAGAAGTTTCTATGCATCTCTTCCTTTATTTGCTTTCATTCAGTGTTCTGCAGGCTGAAAACCAACACCATTCCATCCTGCAAGGATCAACAGGCCTGTATCACAGCACAGGGAATGGAACAGAGGTAGAAGAGACAGCCCAACTTTAAATAAAGTACAATCACACTTAATATTTGAGCTAAGATGATCTTGAAGAGGTTTTTTTTTTCTCAATGTGATTTTTCTTTAGAGCAGGGAAACTATCTCATTCTTCACTCAGTAGGTGGCTGTTTGATGCTGAGCTGTATTCCTAAGCATTGTGTTTCTTGGAGGATGGGAAGGTCTCACTGAGGATATGCTGAAAAGAAAAGGGGAAAGGTAACTAACTGCACCATTCTTCCATGGCAGGTGGCATGGATCCAAACAGCAGTGAAACTGGGTTTCATCCGAGTGTAAGAAGAACCCTTTCTCTGAGGTCAGAGTCAAGTTAGTGAGCTTCTCAAAAAGAGAGTTAAGAGATTTTCAGTGACAGTCTGCTAATTCTTCTTTGCAATGTTCTCTTTTGACAGTAAGGAGGACACAGAACCGTGAGAAATTTGACAAGAATGGAGAATGTGCAATAACATACACTAGGTCTGTGAAATTGTAGCAGGTGACACTAGAAAGTGAAACAGGACTCCTGACAGCGTCAAAACAGCTCATTTTGATGATCTTGAGTTTTAGCTCTTTGAGTTTTATACATGTTTTGATCTCATTTACTCCCCTTGCCCAAATCTTCCCAGATCCACCCCCATCTTCTTCTTGTTCAACGTTCTGTCTTTTGCTTTTTATACCCTTCAAGGTGAGTTTGTTCTTCCTGAATATTCTTGTGTGTGTGATCATCCACTGGTGTGGCATTCTGATGATTAGAATATAAGAGCCACACAGATTATGGTAAGATAAAAAGATCCAATAAGTAGGACAAGTAGGCATGTACAGCTGACCTACGAAGCAGGGGGAATACTCAGAGTTAGGGAAGAAAAGATACTGAACACTCAATCAAGCAACTGTCTCTAATGCACAAGCAGGCTGAATGTGCATTCTACAGTGAATTCTTCAGGGGGATAAGAATGACAAGAGAAGGAAAAGAGCTGAACGAGACTCATCTACAGCATAGAGGGGGTGTTTATTATGTAACTGAGACTTCAGATACTGACAAGGAGCAAAATAAGATAAAGTTATTATTTTCTGTACTGAGAAGGTTATGACCATTGCTTGTATTAAATGACAACTGGGGAGATAATAGATTGTTGGGAATACTGTGTCATCAACAACGGCAGGAGATGATTCATCACATGTTTTTTTCTTGATAATTTGAATTCTTTACAGATTTTTGGATTTAGTTGTTGCCATTTTCTCATGGTTATTAAGGACTAAACCAAGGGCCTACTTCATGCTAGATGAACTTGACACAACAGCTCTCTTCACTTTTTAAAATCTTTTTGGATCCACTGAGTGGTTGGTTGAACTCACTCTGTAACCTAAGAAATCTTTGAACTTGCCACCAAGCCTTAGTTTCCCAAATACTTGGGATTTTAAGCTTGTGATACTGAGCTTAAATTTATTCACATTTTTTACTCAAATTCTTTATTTAATCTTATATTATTATATCATACCAGTGTATAGTATAATACACATTTACAATAAAACATGAGAACACTATGTGATTTGGCACTGAAAAGTACACAGTATAATTTATACAAAAAGCTAAAAATGTGCCTTTTACCGTAATAATGCTACCCATTATTTATTCTGTGGAACTCTACTTCCGTGTAGCCCTGGTTTATTCTATTTTACAGCCCCACACTTGATATATTCCCACTCAACAGCTTTTACATGTAACATTCCCTTACACATTTTAAAAGAAGTGAACTATGATGTATGAAACATTTTTTCAAAGTAAACTCTGTGGAGTGCTAAAGTCACATACTCTCTTCCTGGAAAGTATCTGCTGGGGGCAGTGCACACAATAAATCAGCAGTGAAAAACAAAACAAAAAAATACTTCCTTTTCTCTTCCTCAATACCGCTTCACAAATATACAGCTTTTAAAAAGTTTTGAAGCAGAAATGTCATGGACATTCAGGCACTACACCACCTGCTATGCAGAGTTATTCATCTAGTGAGTTAAACAATGTAAGGGCACTGCTGGAGTCCCAGGATTCTTTGAAAAGCAATCAGACTAGGGTGAGTCACTCTAGGTGAGTACACTGCCTTCACTTTGTCTTTCAAGCTGTCAACATGTACAGCTCTTGGATGACAGTTTACATCTCAATAAAGCAACTTAAATGTTATCTTGAAGACAAACCAGTTTCTGTGAAATATGATAATCTTAGTAGCTGGACAAGGGAAGTTCCAAGACCAAGGAAGGGTGGGGGAGATCTTATTCTCAGGAATAAGCACGTCAAGAAACTTTGGCTGTTTGTTGACAGGAGTAAGTATCTGGAGTCGATTTGACCTGTGATACATGGATTTACATTGATTTCTTGAAGCTTATAAAGACTTTTTATGTTTATAAAATTAGATAAAAGTTTTACTACTGTGTGTAATCTGTACTGAAATCTACATTATAAAGAAATCAGTAGACTTATATCTTTGAATCATAGTAAAAGTTTGGGAACCCACAAATTATTTTGACATAAAAGTATTAACACATTTTCCAGGTAGTTGGATATATAGATCAGATAGAGATGTTTGTAGAATGATGAGAAGCATTTTTAAGCCTATTTTTAGAAGTCTACCAAAGGAAATTTAAAAATTTGAGCTTGTGATTGTGATAATAGTAGCACTACTTTACAAGGGCTAGATTGATAGCTTATCAGAACTACACTAATTAATGTTAAAACTCTGAACTTTTGAATACTTACTATACCACTAACATAGCAAAAGGATAACAAATCTAAAACATTTTTAATTGGATCATATATGTATTTATATAGGATTATGTTTTAGACTTTTAGAACTTGCATTCAGTAGGAGATTCATATAGTGGAGATGGGGTTAGTCTGCTGACATACATCACAGGTAATGTAGAAAGGTCTTTTCTGCCAGGGTGATAACCAGGTGAGATTGGAGAAAGAATACAAGAAGTTTGGTATTAGAGTGAAATGTGTGATGTAGATAGATAATAATGTACTGTGTTGGAGTGTGTATTTTAGGGTGAGGAAGTAGAGCATTGAAACTGCTTGGATAAAAAAGACTCGATGTGTTTGATGCCTTTAAGTTCACTAAGGGTAGGGGTTTTAGGGTTTGAATATGTAGGCAGGAGGATCTTTAATTGTAATAGAGAGGGGTTTATGATGTGCAGCCTGGGGAAGAGAGGTGGTATCCCGTACCATGGAAATAACTAAGGAACAGAACAAAGAGCACGAGAGGTTTTGTGTAGAAGCCTTTGAAAGAGCAAGTTAAGGGAAGGGTCTGGAAGACTGGTAATGTACTCTGTTTATGGAGGAGGGTGGTGTTGAGTGGGACCTTAGAATTCTCTCTGGATTGAAAAAGTGATCATAGTACTTAGAAAAAATGTGATGAGGTAACCTAACAAAAATGAAACCCTAGGTTCCTGAGAGTGATTAGTGTGAGTTTAGCCAAATCATCAGAAATCTGAGGGTAAATTATAGTAAAATGTAATCCACACAGCCTATGTATCTCTGAAAATGACAGAGACTTTCCCATTAAATGGATGGCTGCTCTAGGCTCCCATTGCTTCATTTACAGCAGCACTAGGCTCTCAAGGTCTCAGCTTCACTAGGGTCAGTGGTGGTAGGTCTTTAACTGTCTTACAGGACAACATTTTGTCTCCAGCTATCACACAAAGCAGCTTTGGCCTTCAGCTGTCAAACCCACATCTGAGAGATTTTTCCTGTAGAGGACATTGGGAGAATTGACCTTACTTTGGCTGGGCAGAGTGAGATAGTCAACCCAATAATTCTCATAGTTTAAGCAAAGCCCTGTGTAGTAGGAGCAGCGTGTTGTGTTCCCGCTCAGCTCCCATATGGCTAGCTTAGCCCCGGAAATAACACACAAATTGTATTCTTTTAAATACTGTCTGACCCATTAGTTCCAGCCTCTTATTGGCTAATTTTCATATCTTGCTTTAACCCATATTTAATAATCTGTGTAGAACCATGAGGTGCGGGTTACCAGGGAGATCCTAACCTGCATCTGTCTCAGAGAGGAGAATCATGGTGACTGACTGACTCAGCTTCTTTCTCCCAGTATTCTGTTCTGTCTACTCCGCCTACCTAATTTTTCTGTCCTATTAAAGGGCCAAGGCAGTTTCTTTATTTAACCAATGAAATCAACACAAAACAGATGACTCTCCTCCATCAGCCCTGGCAGTAGACAAGGCATGGGGCAGCTTTGGTTAGTGGTGAGCATTACAATCCAGGTGAAGTCATCATTTTTCATCTATCTTCTTTGTAGAACTTGGGATTTCCAGTAGGAATTGTTATGTCTATTATGGGAAGCTCTATTATTAAATATTTTAAATGCCATATTCAGCAGATTTCTGAAGAGTTTGAGTAACATCTATTTATTAAGTATAAGCTTAACTTTAAAAACATATGTAGGAGGCAAAAAGCTTTATTTCTTAAATCAATTAATTACATTAGAATTTAGCATGACTACAAATATAGTTATGAAAAAATTAAAGAATTTGATTATTTATAAGGTGACATTATTAACTTGCATGTTTTAGTTATCTTTTGTAAGTTAGTAGCTTTTATAAGGTTAGGATTATATGTTTTTATTTCTGTTAATTTTGAGCCTTAATATTTGAGTTGAAGATTTTGTTAGATTACCTTTACCATGGTGCACTATTTTAAACTATCATATTTTTATATGACTTAGTTTATCTAAATAGCAAAACTGAATAAAGGCAAAGAAACTAGATAAAACATATTGTGACTATGAGTAGGAGTTTATAAATCTTATTCATCAAATATATGTTGTTATGTATTTAAATTATTTAGAAGCCTGGTGTTGAAGACTTAACAAAGAAGTAAGTAATCAGGTAAATATCTAAGTTCACTTTTGTTAACCTAAGTAAAATTTTATATCAATCCAAAATATTTTGAAGACTTGTTGTTGTTTCCTTAGTCTCAGAAGCAATATGATGGTAAATTAAGAGTTCATTTTCATTGAGAAATATGATTGTTTTTTTCTGCCATGTGGTCACATATGTGGTCATCTTAAGATGTTGAAGTCATATGGTATGTAATCTTTAACCTTAGTAAAGATGATTGCCAATTATGAGGTCATTACATATATTTAACAAGAGCTGAATTTAAGTTATATATACAGTAAATAGATTTAATTTTTGAATGAGAGTTGAATCTAATATAGCAAATTAAGATATAACTTCTTATTACAAGTTTTAAGGTAACTTTTTAATTACAGATTTTATAGATTATAATCCATACCCAATGAGTTTACAAATCCTGAAACAGAGTTTATAGCATAATCTTAAGAGATTTTTTTGGAGCAGAGAATAGAGAAATTTTAGAGAGAAAAGACTTTTAAGAGTGGGAAGTTGAGGAAATGTAGAGAAGAATAAGTTTAAATATAAGAGATTTTGTGATCATTTGTTTATGCGATGGCAGTTGTTAGCATATGAAAATATTTGATACTACTGAGGTCATGCTGTTTGCAGCAATAAAATCTGAGTCTGTGGAAGAAAAGAGTAATGGCTGAAAAACAAAACTCTGCTGGAAGGAATTTCTATAATCTCCAAGAGGAAGTTGAGAGAGAGTGTAGGTGGCCCAAATGGGCTCCAGAATAGAGATGCAGTAAGAGAGCTCTTGGAGGCCTAAGAGCTCTCAAGGAGGAACAGGCAGTTCTAAGGAGGAAGTGGGAACTTCAGGTGGAATCTGAGACTAGAAGCTATGGGAGTGCAGGCAGGAGCTGACAGACAAAAGAGCCAGGTCACACAGGCCTGGACAGGCTTAAAGAAGCTACAGAATTGCAGGCAGCTGCTAGTGGAGGAAAATGGTTGCAGTATATTGTACCAGGGAGCTAAAGAGATATAGAGAAGTGACCTGAGCAAAGAAGGAATCATAATTAATAGGCAGAATCACAGGTAAAAAGACAGCATAGTGAAACAGCAGGCAGGACTTCAGTTCCCAGGGAGGATTTCTAGGACGCCACAAAGAGAAGTAGAATAGGTAGCTTCAAGTGGGAGAAAGCAAGGGAAAGGATCCCAGGCTGTTGCAGGGAGGATTGCGGCTCCTCATGGGAAGTGATAGAAAGCTAGAGAGAGAAGAGAGGCAAGAGAAAGTGGAAATGTTTATGCAAGTGTAACAGGCTGGAGGCATAGCAGGCTACAGGAGCCAGAGAAACATATACAGATTGTAGAAGTGTTGACATGGAGGACTTATCAGGCTAAAGGAGATAGAGGGGGAAAAGTAGTTGAAGAAACAGTCTCTAGAATTTGGAATTAGATGTTGTAGGTGGCAGAAGCCAGCAGAAATGAATGATCTGTACATACCTTAGCAGAGTCATGTCAGCAGCTTGCTTCAGAGTGACTGGGTTCTTGTAGATAAAAAGGAGAGAGCATAGTCAGAGTAAGGGTTATCTGAGAGAGTACATAGTAAACGTAAACCAGACCTGAGCCTTGTGGGGAGACAGGCAGGGGTGGGCAACAAAGAAGGGTGACCTGGGCCAAAATGAGAGCCAGAGAGGAGGGCGAATGAACTGAAGGGAAGGTGGCTAATGAAGAGAGAAATAGCAAGAGTAGGTAGGGTCAAAGGTGAAAAGTTTGGGTTTGGTTAGGCAGTATAGAGTGCTGCAGGGGTTGTATTTAGGAAGTGGTCTCCTGTGCCAATGTGTTCAAGTGTACTTTATAAGGGCCATTTTTAAGTGTAATGGACTAGTAATATCTAGTGTCAGCTGTGTCTTTAGGAGACATCTCAGAGGAAAATCAGTCAGGATGAAGAGAACGGATCTCATTGCTAATAGCAGTCAATGAGCCAAAGTTGAGAGCCAAGAGCCATTCTCTAAGGGTCTCAAGTGACCAATAAAGATATCTCTGGGAGGGAGGGATTTTTTCACTCAAGCTACACCATCAAGAGACAGATGCAATGGTCCAAGGAGAAATCTGGCATTTGTCAACAGAATTTTCAGAGGGTTAGGTGTAGAACAGCCACCGAAAGTAAAAGGAAAATAGTGAGTGAAGCCAAACTGAATGGAATGTGTCTGCCAGACACCTGACATACTCCATCATTGCCTCTGAACACCAGAGTATACTGCATTCTTTCCATCCTCACAAGACAGTGCAGAGATGCTAGACACTTGATAGTCATCACCTGATATCCTGGGAAATGTTTAGAATAGCTAGTAAGGGAAAACTCATAAATTTGCAGCTGTTAAATGACGGAATCAGGTGCTAGATGGACCAAAAAGTGTAAGAACTGGGTCAGGAATCCTGTAGATCCATTCAAATCATGTTCTGGGTTACAGGAACCAAATGAAGGAGCCATGGAGACAGCACAGAACACACCCAAACACCAAATTCGCAGCACAAGGAAGATTTTCTTACCCTTGGTGGCGGGGCAAGTAGGGGTGGAGTTGCCTCTTGATTCAGGAAGGACAGCAGCAGGTGCCTCTGTAGGAGTGGCTTTTAAGGAAGAAAAGGGCAAGTCTGTGTTAGGATGAATTGGTAAATCCTTATTGGACATTGGTCAATGTAGCCAAAATATGAATTTTGATTGCTAGTCCTTGGCGTTTGAGAGCTGAACCTTGGTTGTCAACCTCAGGAATGAGTTAGGCATAAGGCAGAGTTCAAATAAGGGAATGGACCTTGGTGGCTAGTTTTAGAAATGTAATCTAATGGTTTATCAAGGAAGAGAGGAGGAGGAGAGCAAAACCTGCTGGCACCATGTTTGCCATGCTTGGGCCTGTTCAAGAGTCCTTCAAGAATATCTGTTAACACCAGTGGTTCACCCAACACTCTAGTGTCTCAGGTACTAGAACTTACTCATCTTCTTACTCAGGATCATTTTTCATGATCATCACTGTATTTTCATTTAGCTTCCCTTTATATTTATAAGATAAAATACAATGGTGACGAAAACTGGTGCTACATAACTTAAACTTCCATTTAAAATTTATGTAGGCTAAAATATTTAAATTGAGAGTAAACAGTTGGCAACAGTTATTAGTATATTGATAACCAATTTTAAGGCACTTTTATCACTTACTACTCAGAGTTGGCTATTGTTCTTTTAATCTGTGTGACTTTATTTCAAATTTGTGATTTTGTGTTATATTGAGCTTTGCAAAGGCCAGTTATTTCCCTTACTTGTCCCTTGTTTGTGCTCCATAAGATTAATTTGATGACCCATATTGGAGGACCTCTGTGACTGGTGTGTATGTGTGTTTGTATGTGTATGTCGTGTTAAATAATTGTGAACTTCTTAGATAGAAAATGGTCTTGGGTAAGAAGACTGTCATGCTTCTGTCCAAATTCATAAAGTTTCTAGGTAAGCCTACTCTGTTTCTAGTAATATTATATTCCACTAAATAATACTTTATTTTACAAATATATTTTATAGGCATCTGATTTCAAATTGGCTTTAATTAAAATCTCTATTTTTTCATTAATACAATGACATTTTAGCCAGTTTTTTTATTATTATACATTTTAATCATGCATGGAATGCCAAGAAGGACTCTTGTAGAAAATTCCAGGTCAACACATTTAAAAACAAGCTCAGAGAGGGAAAGTGGTTGTGAGTTTTTTAAGGGATTATTGAATTGTTTTATCGGAAGCTCTGCCTCATCCCCTCATTCTCCCTTTCAAAACCCTGCCCCTGAGAAAGCCTGCCAGGTGGTGGTTTCTCTTCTGGAGCTGCTCAGTACTGTATTTACAGGGTATTTAAGCTCTGGTCCATAGACCTGTAGTCTTTGTTCATTCCCTGAGACCACAAAGCAAGACATGTTTTGTTCAAATTAAAGCTGGTCTTATTAATTTGACTTGACTTGGCTTATTTCTTTGGTAGAAAAACCCATTGCTGAGGATTTAAAATACTTAGCAGTGAAAGTATTATATCAGAGAGGGATCTGTACTTTTGTTTTCTTCATTTCACCTGCCAATTTCATAAACTGATCCTAGTCTAGGATACTACATGAGAGCCAAGGCTCAGAGATGGCTCAGCAATGAAGGGTGCATGTGTATGTGCTTTTGTTGTTTTTGTTGCAGAGATACTCCAGTAGAAGGACAGTAGGCTGCCAAAACTGAGGTGAAGCAGAACAAAATGCCTCAAAGAAAACACCATGAAAATACAGCAAACAAGCAGGAGATTTCTTACACAGAGATAAAGACAGCTAAGTCTACAAAGAAGCAAAGAAAACCTAAAGCCAAGCAGAGCTCTGTAATGCTAAGTGAAGAGCAACTAAGCTATGCAGAAGTGACATTCCACAGAACACATCAGCTCCTTTCCCCAAAACAGGTTGTCAGAGGAAAAAGACAAGGTACTGTGGTGTGTCCATTCTGCAAGTGACAGATCTCCACACTAGGTTTTAGATTGCATCTTCAATACCTGTCTTGACTATTTTTCGTGGTCAATGTGACACAGCATAGAATCAATGAGGAAGAGTACTACTAAGAGACTGTTTATATCAGTTTGGCCTGGGAGCATCTCTGTAGTGGATTATATTGGTACCCTAACTAATATGGAAAGACTGCCTGCAAGTGGGAGACACTATTCCCAAGTTTGGAGCTTTGAACTTTGTAAGAGCAGAAAGGGGTATGACAACACATGAGTGTGTTTATGGCTTTCTGCTCTTGACTGTTCATGTGACCAGTCACTTCAAGCTCCTATACAGTTGGAACATCTCTGACATACTATAAAAGGACATACTATAAACTGAAAAGGCCCCTTTCACATTCAATGTACCTTTTTTCCCCAGAATAATTTTGTCACCGCAACAGAATGAAAAGGAAGTATAACCATGCTAAATTAGTCACAATATATTAATTACATAACTTTGTAACACCCTTGACCCCAGCTAGTCTAGGATACTACAGTAGAATAAATTATGATCTGTTTCTTTCAAATATCTAAGAAGCAGATTCTGACAGAATTGTATTGTGTTTAAGAACACAGTTGAATGATATTTTAAAAATTCCAATCATCTTGCATGAGGTGAATCAGACCCAGAACGTTAAACATATGTACTCACTTATAAGTGGATATTGGCTATAAAGTGAAAAATAACTATGATACAATCCACAGACCCAGAGTTGATGTAGGTGGGTCTTCTATCTTTCTGTTGTTTCATTGGTTAATTAATAAAGAAACTGCTTGGCCTGATAGGCCAGAACATAGGTGGGTGGAGTAGACAGAACAGAATTCTGGAAGAAGGGAAGTGAGTCAGACACCATGGAGCCAGCCGCCAGGTCAGACATGCTGAATCTCTCCCGGTAAGCCACCACCTCGTGGTGCTACACAGATTATTAGAAATGGGTTAATCAAGATGTGAGAGTTAGCCAATACGAGACTAGAACTAATGGGCCAGCAGTGTTTAAATGAATACAGTTTGTGTGTTGTTATTTTGGGTGTTAAGCTAACCTGGCAGGAGCCAGGCGGGACAAAAAGCAGGCCCGCTCCCTCATCACAACACAGAGTGGCCAAGTAGCAAGGGGGGGCTCAATGGGGTTGCTTGGATCTCTTTGGAAAGGGGATATAGGAGAAATTTCATAGTCAGGGCAAGGGGGGGATGAGAGCATGAGGGATCAGACTAGGGGAAATGAGGGGATGAGTACTGAAAGAGATGACTAGAAAGGAGGGGAGCGTTTCAGGGTCAGGTAGCACAAGGGAAACTCCCAGGAATATACAAAGATGACACCAGCTAAGACTTCTAGCAATTGTGGATATGTCACCTGAACTGACCATCTCCTGTGACCAGATTAGTAACTACTCAAATTATCATTAAAGAGGCTTCACCCAGCAACTGATGGAAACAGAGACAAAGATTCATAGCCAAACATTAGGCAGAGATTGGGGAGTCCTGCTGAAGGGAGGGAGGAACAGTTGTAGGGGCCAGAGGGGTCAAGTAAATTGCAAAAAAAAAAAAAAATACAGAATCAACTAACCTAGGCTCATAGAGACTCACAGAGTCTGAACTGAGTGACAACCATGAGACTGATGAGGCCCTCTGCATATATGGGCCAGTTGTGTAACTTGGTCTTTTTGTGGGACTCCTAACAGTGGGAGCAGGGCAATCTCTTACTCCTTTTCTGGATTTTTAGATCCCTTTTCATACTGGGTCACCTTGTCCAGCTTTAATACATGGAGAGGTGCTTAGACTTACTGGGACTTGATATGCCGTGTTTTGTTGATATCCATGGGAGGCCTGCCCTTTTCTTAACAGAAAAGGAGGCCTGAATGTGAGGCAGAAGGAGAGGTTGAGAAGAGACTGGGAGGAGAGAGGGGAGGGGAACTGTGGTCAAAATGTAAAATAAGCAAATAGACTTTAAAAATTATTTATTTCCACTCCCCCATTTTTTATTTATTTATTTTTCCATTAAAAAATTTCCACTTTCTCCCCTCCTCCCATTCCCCTCCCGCTTCCCCACTCACCCTTCTCCTTTCCCCTCCAGTCTTAAGAGAGGGCAGGGTACCCTGACCTCTGGGAAGTCCAAGGCCCTCCCCCCTCCATACAGGCCTAGGAAGGTGTTCATCCTTCCGGCAATGGATGGAGATAGAGACAGACCCACATCAAAACACTGGCTTGAGCTCCCTAGGTCCAGTTGAAGAGCAGAAGGAGGGAGAAGATGAGCAAGCAAGTCAGGACCGCAAGGGGTTGGTTCACCCAGTGAGACAGTTTGCCTGATCTAATGGGAGCTCACTAAATCCAGCTGGACTGGGACTGAACAAGCATGAGATCAAAGCAGAATCTCTGAATGTGGCTGACAATGGAAGCTGACTGAGAAGCCATTGATAATGGCACTGGGACTTGTTTCTGCTGCATGTACTGGCTTTTTGGGACTCTAGTCTATTTGGATGCTCACCCTCCCTCATTTTTATGGTACCAGGCCCTATACTCTATCCAAGATGGGCTTGAACACAAGGCAGTACTTTTGCTTTAGGCTCCTAACGTGGTAGAAATACAGGTGTGAGCAAACATGGCTGACTTCATTCCCAGCTATTTTGAAAATAGCTATTGTGGCCACCTTTATTCAGTTAAGTCTAATTCACTCTCAATGGGTCTGATCTAAACATGCAGTAGACCAAAGTGATGAAAGAGAAATAGCCACCAGATTGGAAAAAATTATACTCTGGTTTCACAGGAATAATAGATTGCAGAGAAATGATTTCCATAGTATTTTAGAGGTAAAATTATGTTATATTTAACCAGATAACAGAAGTAAAATTAAGAAGTTTTAAATACAATAAAAAACACAAACTTTATTTCTGTCTTTTTTCTTTCTTTCTTTCTTTCTTTCTTTCTTTCTTTCTTTCTTTCTTTCTTTCTTTCTTTCTTTCTTTGTTTATAGATATGTGAGAAAGGAGGAACTGGAGGAGCCTGCTCTCGGCTTCCACCTTGTTTCTCAGCAGAGACTTTTAGTTTCTATAGCCTACCCCAAGCTAGTTGGCTTGTGAGCTTCTAGTTTCCAATTCTCCTATTGCTACCCACAGGAGTAACAGATACAGATGCTAATGCACACCACAGGCTTTTTCCATGGGCTCCAGTGATGGGACTCAGGTTACCAGGTTTGCAGTGCAAGTGCTTTTACCTGCTAAGCTAGACCTTGGTTCATTGCAAACTATTTAATGTTCCTGTAAGTGATTAGTCATCATTAACTCTTTCCACAGTTAGAAAGGCATTCATCACAGTTGATTTAGCCAGTAAAAGCCAGACAACTCGTGGTATTTGAATTTCTCAAAGAAGGTGGAGTTAAGGAATTAATGATCCCAAAGGTGGGAAAAGAATGACCATAAACCCAATTTATCAAGGCCTAATTAATTGAAAAAAGCAATTAAGTAAAGCATGTTTTTTTTTTTAATTCATGTACACAGGCTGCCTGCTCCTAAGGCAGGGTTCAAGAGGTCAGCACTGGGTGTGAAGAAATCAAGGATGTTATAACTCAGGGTTAGGGGGTTTCCAACTGGAGGACTTGGCACGCAAAAAAGGTGGAGTCACAGGAAGAGAACATAAGTATTCATGTTAGTTCTAACAACCTCCTGAAACAACAATCTGCTTCTAAGGTGGACATAACAAGGCAGTAATAAGAACAGGTAGGCATGACAATATAGTCATACACGGTCATACAACCTTTTGAAACAGAGGTAAGGTTGCAAAATGGTTGTAAAAAGTTTTTGAAACTAAGACATGATTGCCATTCCTGGAACAGGCAGTACAGAACCATTTGTAGTTAAGGTTACAGGTTGAGCATAGCCAAATCCTTAAGAAGCAGAAGTTTGTTCATAAAGAGGAATAAACCTAGTTTTATTATCTATAAGATGTCCTTAAATCCTAAAATGGACGCAGACTGGATCTTCAATACCTACCTGAAAGTTTGAAACTCCCTCGTTGTCACTGTTTTTCTTTTCAGGTCCAAAAACAACAGTATGGAAAATAGTAACTGGCATCCTTGCAACCTTGTGTGTGGTGCTCATGACAACCGTGGGGATCTTACTTCCAAAATGTAAGTAATTATGGAATTCCTTTATGTTGTAGTAGTTGTGTGTTGCAGGGAAGAGGGCCCGCTTGTTCATCCTAGCTGCCCAACTAGCTTACACCCGAAATAACCACACAGAAATTGTATTAATTGAAACACTGTTTGGTCCATTTGCTCTAGCCTCTTATTGGCTGACTCTCACACCTTGATTTAACCTATTTCTATTCATCTGTATATCGCCATGTGGCAGTGGCTTACTGGGAAGGATTCTAACCAGCATCTGTCTCAGGCAGACAATCCATGGCATCTCCTTGACTCTGCTTTCTTCCTCCCAGAATTCAGTTCTGTTTTCTCCACCTACCTAAGTTCTGCCCTTTCAAAAGGCCAAGGCAGTTTCTTTATTCATTAACCAATGAAAGCAAGACATGAACAAAAGAACCTCCCACACCAGTTGTGCTTTCAGCAATATGATAGTTTGACTCCCTATGGAAACTACTTCACAGCACCCCAATGATCATATATATCCTAAACACTACTAATTACTGCCTCGAATTGTGCCCTAGTATTTTCTAGCCAAGAACAAAGCAGAGAAAGCTCGCCTCTTCATCCTCTGCTTCCTAAAGAGGAAGGTGAGTATTACCCTAAGGATTTTGTGAGTATTAACTCTGTAGTGTTCACTTCCAGGACTTTTCATTAGTGGAACAAGAGATGTTCCCATTTCCACTAATGTTGATGAACCATAAAAGACTGATACAGTGTTGTTCATTCAGTCCCTTACCAGGGAGGAACTCACATGGATTAACTCTAAAAAAAGAGAATCTGAAAACAAAATCCCCAAAGACTACAAGTATATGTGGGTTTTTTAAATTCCTATTAGGAGAAAAATGAGATTTAAATATGTTGAGTTCTAAATATAAATTTTTCACTATGCTGTTGCTTGAAAATAAATATCAATTTATTAGAAAGTAATCCTAGGTGTGCTTATTCCTAGTACAAAGAATGATGATCCTGTAGAGAAAACAGACCTGGTATACATTTTCATGAATTCTACAATTATGCATGGGAATAGGGGAAAGAAAACCATGTCCTCAAATGATTGTATACAGATATTTCTAAATATTTCATCATAAGGTCTCTTAACTGTAAACATTCAAAACAGCTGTCACCAGGTCAGTGGTGGACAAGTATGCTGGCTATTCTTGGTTGTCAACTTGACTACATCTGGAATTAACTCAAACCCAAACATTTTGGTATACATCTGGTCTGAGGGATTTTTCTTAACCAAATGATTTGAAGTGGGAAGACACAACTTAAATTCAGATATTTTGAAAGGGTAAGATCCATATTTAATCTGTGGCACAACTTCCTGTGAGAGCCTATATCAAGGACACAAAAAAATAGAAGTTTTTGCTCCTACCTGATTGCCCTCACAATTGATAGCAAGTTCATTCCTTTACTGACATAAAAGCCTACTTCTTCAGTATTTCTGTGCATACTGAAAATCAGTTGAGACATCAGGCCTTGTAGACTGTTCTACTGCTTTCTTGGATTTTCTGTTGGAAGAGAGTCGGTTTTGAAAAAAAAAACTGTAACACAGGCTGTAAGCCACTCTAAAAAATGTACATATAAACATAGCTATTCTATCTGTTCTGTTCCTCTAGAGAATCCTAAGACAGAAGTGATACAAGGGAGTGGCATACTGTTGTGATAGTCCTAACCATTTTGCTTGTTAGGGGAATGTGGACTGCAGGAATTTAGATTAGGAAAGCAGCTGAATGCCTTAGGCAGGGCTTAATGGACCATGCTAGTAGGAATATATACAGCAGTGCTGAGAGTGATATAAATAGTGGTGGACAAGTATGAGAAGTCTCAGAGGAGAAGAGTATTAGCCAGTAGCCTAGGGACCATTTTTACCACATTTGTGCAAGAAATGTGGCTGCTTTCTGCCCTTGTTCTAAAATCTTCTGGGGTCTAAATTGAAAAGTTAGATTAATAACATTGGTAAAGGAAATTTTAAGACAGTTTAATATTGGCTTGTCTTGTGGTTATTAGTAATCCTTCTTGTGTAAATCAGTAATAAGAATAGCAAGCCAGTAAGGAGCATCCCTCTATTGCCTCTATATCAGTCCCTGCCTCTAGATTCTTGCCCTGTTTGAGTTCCTGTCATTAATTTCTTTGATGAGGAAAAGCAATATGAAAGTATGGGCCAAATAAATCCTTTCCTTTCCAAGTTCTTTGGTTAGAGTATTTCATCACAGCAATAGCAATGCTGATTAAGGCAAGGTATTGTTTCATCGTGCCATGGGACATGAGTCAACAATAAGCAAATTAAATCCTTCTACAATGAGGATGTGTTGAAAAACATACCGAATGGAAAAGGTGATATAATAAAAGTCAGCCCATGCTAAAAATTTGTATCTATTGTTTAGAAAGTCATCAGAAAAAGGCAGTGTTATGCATTTGAACCATATTTCCCCAAGGTATTGAGGAGGCATTAGGTAGCTTACACTGGAAAGAATGTGGGAGAGTCTGGGAGAAAAGACAACTCCAACTCCAACTAGGAAAGAGCTGCTAAAGTTTACCTAAGCTCTTCCAGCAAACTGTTAAAAATAGCATACAATAAAATAATTTAAAATAATGAGCAGTCTAGCCTTTCCTTGTCTCTTAGTCTTGCTCCCACGAGGTTTCAAATGATCTTGCCTATAAGTTTTCGTCAGCATCTTTATGTTTCAACATCCTGTCTTCTCAGCACCATTTGTTAAGCTATTCATTTTATAGAGTTTGAAGTCTTTTCTTCTCATGGTCAACATGGACACAATGTCTCCATGGAACATGATGACGTAATGACCATTCTCCTCAAACTCTTTGGTCTTCAGCTCAAAATTTGATACATGCCATTTAAACAAAGAAGAGTTATGTTATTCTTTTACTGTGTTATTTATCCTGCAAGAATCTTTACATTTTCTGTGGTCTCAGGGCTGATATTTATTAGGGGATACAATAGCCTACATTTCCAACTATTGTACCAATAGCTCTTGTGCTCTGCTGAAGTTATGACCAGAATAAGAAGTCCAGGGGAAAGGTGGGGACTAGGGCTGTTCAGCAGGTTTAAAGAATGTTAGTAGAAGGTGGATGATGTCCAATGTCTTACCTAGGAGATTTATCAATTTTTATATACTTTCTCAGACATATATTACCTATAAAATATTTTTCAGTTGGAACAATGTTATTTTAATAAATTAACAAAATAAAGAAATATAATTTATGTTTCATAGACACATGTTGTCATGGAAATAATTGTATGATATGAGAGACAGAGAAGTAACTGCCCTCATTTTTCTGAGGGCAAATGGATGATTATAAGTGTAATAGAAATGAAAATGAAATGTACATTTCTTAAATACCGAGAATACCAGTCTAAAGTTCCTTTGTACTTTAATTTTTTAATTTTAATTCAGAGACACGTATTTATTTGTTCATAAAACAACTGCACATCGAGAATCATTTAAGTAACTGCTTTTTTTATTCACATAATTATGTCACTTACCATTGCATATTTTTGTATAATTATGTCAAAAATAATATTGAAACTTGTTTTCTTTACAGAAATCAATTTATACTGATTTTTATGTAGAAAATTTTAAAACAAAAATTTGTCATCATTAATTGTTATCAGATAAGGATTGTATAAATATTACAGAGCACTTTGACATAGTGCTTAGGACTGTAGTGTAGCGCATGGGCAGGAGGCTGGCTGAGCATCCTTGGAGCTTGCATTAACCTGTGGCACCAGCAAAAATATTAATGAAGCTTCACTCTCTAAGGAGTATTCACAAGTCTCACAAAAGCCTAGTAGTTGCATTAATGATGGTTATTCTAGTGCTGAGCACCCATTTCACACATGTTTGTTTCCTAGATGGCGCCCGTTACCTTTGTTCACTGGACTGGTTTGCTTTTGGAAACAATTTCTATCATAGGATTCATGAAATAAGAACCTGGGCAGACAGTCAATCTTCCTGTGAGGAATGGAACTCTCATCTTGTGGAGATAGACTCCAAAGCAGAGCTGGTGGGTCACAGGCTCCTTCTTTCCTGTTTCTTTGTAACTGTTTTGCTCTGAGAGCACTGGTCATGGAGACTTAGCAAACTGAATGTTATGGAAGGCCTGTGATGGAACTAATGCTGATTTACTATTTTTTTCTGGATGAGAAAGAAGAGAGTTGTCTACAGAATTGCAATGTATAATGTTACATGAAAACAAAAGTGACAAATGAGCTCCCACAGGAATGTTCCCCTTGTGCAAGCCCTGGGGAGACCCAAAACTGCTGTTTAGTAAAGAAGGAGCCAGTCTGCTAGGCTAGAAACTCATTCCCTAAACGCCAGTACCTAGGAGGGTAAGACTGGAGAACCACCCTGAGTTTATATGGAAAAGGAAAATTTGATTAGGATTACATAAGCAGTTATGGATTGTGGTTTTTCTGTACTCAACAGGAAAACTTGCTATTGTTTGAAATTCAAGGGTGGATTATCCTCAACATAGATGAAACCGATGGGTCCTGGCTGTGTGAAAATGGCACCAAAATACAGCAAACCAGGTAAGTGCAATGTTTGGATAATTTGGACCTTGCTGAGGGTAGTGGGACTGTTGTACATTTGCATCCTGTCTGTGTGTGGCACAGAAGGAACATCCAGAAGAAAAGAGAGAGCTCTGCTATGGAAGCAGCAGTGTACCATAACAGAGAAAACACGTTAGCTTCAAATATTCACACCTTCAAAACGTGTGTGTTTTTATTCTACTGGTCTCCCTGGAGACACTTGCACATCATTTTAGGAAGTCTGTAACTCTAACCATTGTGTTGTTTCCTTTTTATTGGAATCACAAGTTATTTTTTTTCTCAGACAGTGTAAGATTAGCATGTGCCTCATGTTTTCCATTAAGCTTGCTAATTTGTAATTAAATCACCCCACCCCCCAACCCACTTCATCATGGCTCTTTGCTTTCTTCTAGTAATATTTTTCTTCTCGTCCCATGCTTGTTTTAGTTTAGCTAATTCTAACTTTGAGATAAGAAATTCTATCTGCAGTGACTACCTCTTGATTTCTGATTTCTTTTTTTATTGTTTTTACACAGAATTAATGATTCAGAAAAAAAGAATCATAATTGCCATTATCTGAATGGAAAACAATTTTTTCTTGAAGACTGTTCATCTAAGAAGGCATACACCTGTGAGTTTAATATGCCATAGTAGCTATTTCATTAGCATAATTTTATTAAACTATGAATAACAAAACTGTTTAAATTTATAATTTGTTTTATGTGTTGGGAGCAGGGGATGCCACAGTGTACATGTGGAGGTCATAGGAGAACTTGAGGGTACTGGTTCTCTTCTTCCACTTTTATGTGGATTCCAGGGATCAAACTCAGGTGTCTGGGGTTGTGTGACGAGTGCTGCTACCCAGTGAGCGATGTTGCTGCTTGCTTTTTTCTGTTTGTGGAATACGCTTACACCACTTTGTTCAGTCTAATCTGTATTCCCAGGGCTCAAATATTTTTGAGTCTCAGTATATCTAGTAGGTAGAACAGAGATACAACCCATTCACCCAGTGTAAGATTCCTAACTAGATACCTTTTAAGATTGTTTAAGAGATGTGTTGATGATACTGCTTGAGACAGCAAGAGCTGGTTTAATGAAAAACAAAAACAAATACAACTTAGGTTTAAAAAGCTAAGAAACTCAGAGTCTGGATCAGAGATTAAGAGTGATTACTGTTCCTTAGAGGCCACAGGTTCAATTCCCAGCACCCACATGCCAGTTCACAGTTGTATGCAACTCTAACGCCACCAGATCAGACACCCTCTTCTCATTTCCACGGACTCCTGCATGCACATGATAACTCACATATGCATTCACAGATACATTGCAGTGTCTAGCGAAATACCACCTTGTCCAGACTCCATTTTGGGTTTGCTTAGACAGTTCTTATCTCTCTATCCACCACTAACATCTACCTTAAAAAAAAAGTTGCGATTTCCATGGCCCAGATTATTAACCAAAATAATTAATGTTTGTACAAACTTGACATAAGCCAAAAAAAAAAACAACTAGAGAAGATAAAACTCAAAAATAATTCTCATATCTATAATTGTTACTATACTCTGCTAGAAATAAATATTCGAAGGTTATGCCAACCATCATCTAACATTTATGTAAACTCTGAACTTCGTGTATTCCTACTACATGTTCTGGCTTAGTGGGAGCCTAGCCAGTTTGGATGTTCACCTTCCTAGACCAGGATGGAGCGGGGAGGACTTTGGACTTTCCACAGGGCAGGGAACACTGACTGCCCTTCAGACTGGAGAGGGAGGGGGAGAGGAGTGGGGGGAGGGGGAGAGGAGAGGGAGGGGGGGGGGGGGGGGGGGGGGGGGGGGGGGGGGGGGGGGGGGGGGGGGGGGGGGGGGGGGGGGGGGGGGGGGGGAGAGGAGGGGGGGAAGGGAGGGGGGAGGGAAAGGGGGGGTGGGGAGGAGATGGAAATTTTTTTCAATAAAAATTATATTAAAAAAAATTCTGTACCCCTGAACTTGAGCATCAAGGGATATTAAGGCATGTGCCTGCTCTTTGTCATCAGCTAATAAAGAATTCCTATTTTGACTTGGCTTAATCAGCATGGTTTTCTGTATCTTTCTTGTATGAGTGATTATAATATAAAATAATGATTTAAAAAAAAAAAGGAGTTCAGAGTTTGGCAACAGTTGTCTGACATTGCCTATTCTAGCAGCCAATACTGAACTTTCAGTCATTCAAAAAGTGACCCAGTGATGATGAGAAAACAGTTGAGAGAGCCTAAAGAGGAACAAAAACCATGAATGGAAAACAAAAGGAAGCTCTTGTGCTAAAAGTTCTATAACTAAAAATTTAAAATTCTAATGTTTCAAATCTTTGAAGAAATAACAACTAACAGTCCTCCAAATGGAATTCTAAAATTTATTGTTTGCATTAAAATACAATAAGCTGGGAAACTTGAAGAAGACTTAGAAAGGAAAACCACAGCTGTGAACCCCATTGTCCTACTACTGACACTAGAGAGGATGAATGTTAAGCTGAAGAAAAGACTCAGCGCCTAGGAGCACTGGCTGCTCTTCCAACAAACTAGGGTTCAATTCCCAGGACCCACACAGCATCATCTCACAACTGTCTATAAGCACAGTTCCAGCATATTCAACACTCTCTCTGGTTTTAGAGGGGCCCGAGAACACATGTGGTACATACAAAGCCAAAAGGTCAATTAACATAAGATGATGATGATAATAGTGATGATGATGATGACAGTATATTAAATAACAATCATGATGATGGTGATGAAGATGATGGCTGTGCTGGGATGTGGTGCATGCCTTTCATCCCAGCACTTGGGAGGCAGATCTCTGTGAGTCGAGGCCAGCTCTGGGCTACAAGAGCTAGTTCCAGGGCAAGCTCCAAACCCCCCCCAAAAAAAAGACCTTGGGAGCTCAGTCCAGTGTTCCAGTGTGGGTCTCTGTCTATCTCCATCCATCACCAGATGAAGGTTCTCGCTCAGGATAGTGTTTTCTATTTCCATCCATTTGCATGCAAAATTCGAGAAGTCATTGTTTTTT